TGCCGTTTTCCCGGTTTCATGCACTCTGGGTCTCTTGCCGCTTGAGAGCACTTCTGCACAGGGTTTTTCCACACCCTCCTTGGCTTTTCCCTGCTCTTCGATCATGCTTTGTACCGCCGACAGGACTTCTGTATTAAGGTAGTCAATTTCGTCGACTATCTCCCTCATCGGGCTTGTAATGGACCACTTTCCGTCCATTAGCTTCTTTAACTCCCTGGTCTTCGATCCCAGGCTAGTCAGCTGTATCAACACATCCCCTTACTCCTCATCAGCTTTTGGGCTGTCTTTTCCTGCTGCTGTGGGGGGGCGGGGGTATTAAGATTTTCTTACCCGCAATATCCTGTTGGTCTTCGATCGGCCTTTACTATTTTAAAGGAAAAGAAAAGAACCGCTTAGCTGAACCCTATTCAAAGCTTGCTGCTATGGCACCCTCACCCTTTTTCGCACACTACTATCAGCTGATCGCGCAAGCGCTTTCCACCACTGATTTATTGTTTACTAAAAAAGAAAAGTATGTCTGTATGTCTGCACCAGAGAACGTCAAGGGTGTCTTTTTTCGGCACCCGAATCACACTTATACATTTCTAGTGTTTGTCGCACTCACCAACAGCAAGAAAAGCGTAACACACCCGACCGCACAAATCGCTTTGGGTGTTCGGTGTATTTGCTTTTTTGTCACTCACTTATTTCTATGCCCTCGATTCTTTTGCACAGATACCCAAAACAATTACAGCAAAAGAAGGGAGGGTCTGACACACCCATATTTCGGTATGAGTGATTCGGGTGTCTTTAACTGATCTGAGTGTGTCGGATGTATTCAGCTGTATGTCTGTATGACTGTATGTCTGTATGTCTGTATGTCTGTATGACTGCATGTCTGTATGTCTGTATGTCGGTATGTCTGTATGTCCGTATGTCTGTATGTCTGTATGTCTGTATGTCTGTATGTCTGTATGTCTGTCTGTATGTCTGTATGTCGGTATGTCCGTATGTCTGTATGTCTGTATGTCTGTATGTCTGTATGTCTGTATGTCTGTATGTCTGTATGTCTGTATGTCTGTATGTCTGTATGTCTGTATGTCTGTATGTCTGTATGTCTGTATGTCTGTATGTCTGTATGTCTGTATGTCTGTATGTCTGTATGTCTGTATGTCTGTATGTCTGTATGTCTGTATGTCTGTATGTCTGTATGTCTGTATGTCTGTATGTCTGTATGTCTGTATGTCTGTATGTCTGTATGTCTGTATGTCTGTATGTCTGTATGTCTGTATGTCTGTATGTCTGTATGTCTGTATGTCTGTATGTCTGTATGTCTGTATGTCTGTATGTCTGTATGTCTGTATGTCTGTATGTCTGTATGTCTGTATGTCTGTATGTCTGTATGTCTGTATGTCTGTATGTCTGTATGTCTGTATGTCTGTATGTCTGTATGTCTGTATGTCTGTATGTCTGTATGTCTGTATGTCTGTATGTCTGTATGTCTGTATGTCTGTATGTCTGTATGTCTGTATGTCTGTATGTCTGTATGTCTGTATGTCTGTATGTCTGTATGACTGTATGTCTGTATGTCTGTATGTCGGTATGTCTGTATGTCCGTATGTCTGTATGTCTGTATGTCTGTATGTCTGTACGTCTGTATGTCTGTGTGTCTGTATGTCTGTATGTCTGTATGTCTGTATTGTAGTAGGATAAGTCATTACATATATTAGTATGAACGAGTATACACGGTTATAGATATGTATTAGTTTGTATAACTGCATTATGTAAATATGTAAAACTAGTATTTGAATATTTGAATGTAACGGTTAGACATTTAATAGTCGTTAGCATTTAGTATAATCAGCTGTTATATAGTTGCTAATCTGGCAACTCTACAAATGTTAAGTATCGGCACCAGATTAGCAACTCTGAATATGTTAAATATCGGTGATGATCGCAGCCAACTTCGTGTTATGTAATGTAAGAACCGAGGCCATGTTAATTCGGGTAATTGCGAATAAGAAGTAGAAGAGAACGGACAAGTTTAAATAAAGTATGCGTAATAATAAAAGTGTAAAACAGTTTATTCTACTATAAACTTCAGAAGTGGTCCTGACCCATAAAATGGATCTTATTGATGCGGAGCAATTTACGGTCGTCCAGCTAAAGAGGTGGTTGGCGGCGCTGAACTTGCCAACCAGCGGCAACAAGGCGGAACTTGAAGCACGGCTGAATAGCGTGGACTCCAGAATTCGCGGAACTCGTTCACAAACCCCGTTACTGGAAAACGAGCATAATGCTGATCTACTCCAGGAGTTGGCGCTGGATGACGACTTGGGGGAGAATTCCTCTATGGAGGATTCCGATCCTAGGTCGGAGCGGATGCCCGCAGCAGTTGGTGGCGGCACTGATATCGATGGCGGCACTGATATCGATGTCAACAAGAGTGTTGAGCAACGACAAATGGGAAATGTAAACAAAGGACTTCAGTCGACAAACACTTCACTTTCTTTCGCCAAGAAAATCATCATGGACTATGACGGATCGTCGTTCGCAAACATTTGGACTCAGCAAGTACGAAACATTGCTGAATTGTACAACTTGGTTGCAGTGTGCGTGAAGATAGCAGCATTAACATCGAGCCTGACGAGTTGGTTGACCAGATAATCGAGGGAATACCAGCACAGAATTTGCGTGATCAAGCCCGGATCCAGTGTTTCACAGATCCGATGCAAATTCTGAGTGCGTTTGCTGGTATCCGTTTGGACAAGCCTAAGGAGTCTGTTTCGAAGGAGGTGACTACAAAACGAAGCAACATCGGAGGATTCCGCTGCGGCAACTGCAACGCCAGAGGACTCATCGCCAAGGATTGTCGAAAGTCAGCAAGGGAGCCAGGATCTTGCTATGCTTGTGGCAAGTTCGGCCACTTCGTAGCTCAATGCGAGGAACAGAAGAGAAATGCTGCAATTAATTATGTAAGGTATTTTAACATTCATTTCGAAAATCAAATTATATCTCATAAGGTTGCAGCATGCATCTTAGACTCTGGCAGTCCTATTTCATTAATTAAAGAATCTTTGTTGCCCACTGAGGCCCAACTACAAGAAGTCTCCGAACATTATTTTGGCATAAACAAAAGCCCATTGAAAATATACGGACAAATTTTATGTTTAGTACTAAAAGACGTCGAAGGGTTTCAATTAGCACATAGACCTTACATAGGTGTTTGGAGTGCGCAGAACTTAAGACATTGGATAAAAAAAAAATTTTAAGTAATATATAGCAACAAGTTCAAACTAATATGAAAATATTGTACATAGTATAAGCATTATGTGTAAAACAATCTAATTTTGATCAGGTTATCAACCGGTCTGGATGGCCGAGCTGTAGTAGGATAAGTCATTATATATATTAGTATGTACGAGTATATACGGGTATAGATATGTAAATGTTAAGTATCGGCACCAGATTAGCAACTCTGAAAATGTTAAATATCGGTGCTGATCGCAGCCAACTTCATGTTATGTAATGTAAGAACCGAGGACATGTTAATTCGGGCAGTTGCGAATAAGAAGTAGAAGAGAACGGAAAAGTTTAAATTAAGTTTGCGTAATAATAAAAGTGTACAACAGTTTATTCTACTATAGTATGTCTGTATGTCTGTATGTCTGTATGTCTGTATGTCTGTATGTCTGTATGTCTGTATGTCTGTATGTCTGTATGTCTGTATGTCTGTATGTCTGTATGTCTGTATGTCTGTATGTCTGTATGTCTGTGTCTGTCTGTATGTCTGTATGTCTGTATGTCTGTATGTCTGTATGTCTGTATGTCTGTATGTCTGTATGTCTGTATGTCTGTATGTCTGTATGTCTGTATGTCTGTATGTCTGTATGTCTGTATGTCTGTATGTCTGTATGTCTGTATGTCTGTATGTCTGTATGTCTGTATGTCTGTATGTCTGTATGTCTGTATGTCTGTATGTCTGTATGTCTGTGTGTCTGTATGTCTGTATGTCTGTATGTCTTGTGTGTCTGTATGTCTGTATGTCTGTATGTCTGTATGTCTGTATGTCTGTATGTCTGTATGTCTGTATGTCTGTATGTCTGTATGTCTGTATGTCTGTATGTCTGTATGTCTGTATGTCTGTATGTCTGTATGTCTGTATGTCTATATGTCTATATGTCTGTATGTCTGTATGTCTGTATGTCTGTATGTCTGTATGTCTGTATGTCTGTATATCTGTATGTCTGTATGTCTGTATGTCTGTATGTCTGTATGTCTGTATGTCTGTATGTCTGTATGTCTGTATGTCTGTATGTCTGTATGTCTGTATGTCTGTATTTCTGTATGTCTGTCTGTCTGTATGTCTGTCTGTCTGTATGTCTGTATGTCTGTATGTCTGTATGTCTGTATGTCTGTATGTCTGTATGTCTGTATGTCTGTATGTCTGTATGTCTGTATGTCTGTATGTCTGTATGTCTGTATGTCTGTGTGTCTGTATGTCTGTATGTCTGTATGTCTGTATGTCTGTATGTCTGTATGTCTGTATGTCTGTATGTCTGTATGTCTGTATGTCTGTATGTCTGTCTGTCTGTATGTCTGTCTGTATGTCTGTATGTCTGTATGTCTGTATGTCTGTATATCTGTATGTCTGTATGTCTGTATGTCTGTATGTCTGTATGTCTGTATGTCTGTATGTCTGTATGTCTGTATGTCTGTATGTCTGTATGTCTGTATGTCTGTATGTCTGTATGTCTGTATGTCTGTATGTCTGTATGTCTGTATGTCTGTCTGTCTGTATGTCTGTCTGTATGTCTGTATGTCTGTATGTCTGTATGTCTGTATGTCTGTATTTCTGTATGTCTGTATGTCTGTATGTCTGTATGTCTGTATGTCTGTATGTCTCTATGTCCTTCATGTTTGTAAGACAATTCCTCTCTCTCCTATTCTCTACAAGACAAACTCTCTCAGATGTAAGACGATACTTCCACTTCAATACCACTTTCGCTTCGCGAAGCGCAATCTGGATATCAAGGTCTGGCTTAAGTCAAATTGGCAAGGTCGGAAATATCTTCACTAAAAAGTTTTTTTGTAAAAACGAAGGAGTCAGCAAAAAGCAAATTTGCTTCGAATTAAGTGCACTTACAATTTGATAATCCAACAACACCGAAAAGAAACATTTTTTCACACAGGTAACAAAATAAGAGTATGATTTGTGTTTCTCACCGTACTCGGAACAAATTCCTTCATTACTAGCCTGTCTGTCCTGAATTTTTTCGTTTTTAAATTATTAAAAGCTTCTTGCGGTGCGGGTATCTTGAATGAAGAAACGTTACTAGCAATATTATATTTAAAAACGGAGTAAAATCTTTGAGTCCCGTGGCCATTTTGTATTTATTTTTAGTGAAATCGCACTGCGTAAACCGTAGTTATAAGCTTTGTTTATATTTTTACTAAAGTTGACATATGTATTAAAATTCTGTTTTACTGTTAACCAGACATACAAATCATAACAATAAGACCATTATATTATTTATATTTCAGATTTGTTAACATGAATAGTAGGCGAACGAATAATATAATTGCTCGCTTTAAAATAAATACGACCTTGGACACACTTCTTATTTTCAATGAAGATTCATCGAGGTACTCCGCAAATATTTGTATGCCGACCATCCCAACTCAAAAATTAAGAGAAATCGTTTCTACTAATCAATTTCTAATATTACCGCGATTGTCATCACAAGATATGCTAGAAAGTGAGTATTTTTAAAATAAGTTCGATTAAAATATAGACAAAACAATTCAAAGAAATAAGAATTTTGGAATTCCCATTTTATACCTCTACTCGCAGAGTAAAAAATATTCTTAAGAAGTAGTAGAACATATGAAGGATATATATTCATGTTAAGGATCAATATCCAATTCGATTTGTCCCTATTTTCATGTTTGTCCGTACGTATGTACGCTGAATAATGCTGGCAACAGAAAACGACATCTTTAATTTTATAAAACTATCTGTTGATAAGCAGCAAGCGGTATATTTACAGCATAAGAATTACTAAAACAAGTAACTTTAAAGGCAAAAAAATTTAGGATATGAATTTGAAAAAATATTTTAAGTCAACCTAAAATTTTAATGTTTTTTGTGCTTTTAGTGTGTTGAAGTATCTCCTATCACAGTGGTAATGTTCGCAGTACTGAGAAGGGGGCCAACGAAATACTTTGTTATTGTTATATTGTTAGTGGAACAATACACAAACACCTGTAGCGAGAGGACACTTGGTTTTTACTATTGATTCTTTATTTGATTTGAGCAGCCTTAATGCCGCTTCCAACATCCAGTTGTTTCTGATTCTTACCCTTAGTTACCTCCTTAGGTTCTAAGTAAGCCTAGGTCTCGTAGCTGCGCTGCCCACAGTTGGACGGCAGAGAGACGGTTATGTATATCTTATATGTATTATATATATTTAATTATGCTCTCTTTAGCTGGAGAGCGAGGGTATATGGATGTACTTAAGTTCGTTTGTGCGGCCTGCGTATGTAACAGAATGCTGACACTTGCACTTTCTTTGAACGCGCCGATCGACTCATGTTTCGGCCACTTGGGTTTTTGACCCGGCCGTTGTTTATGTAAACACTGCAACAAAGTGTTACAGTGTGTTTGTTTTAAGTACTCTTGATACAGTAGTTATTTAATATATGAGTAAGTAAAATCTCCCTCCTTTTAAAAAATAACGTAATTTCATCTAGTTATTTTAGTTCTTATTTTCTAAAAAATAATAGCAATAAAGAAAATGAAATTTATCAAAAATATTTATATATTAAAGATATTTATATATTTATGTTATTATCTAAGTATGGCCATACTAAATGTGGTTATGAAATAAAATGTTTTAGTCTATCCTTATGAACTATCTGTTTTTTGTTTTTCTCATTAACTATTATAAGAATATTTGTAATCTAACTTATGACCTGTTTTGTTTCTTAACAATACCTTATCTCCTACTGATATATCTATATTGTTTATTTTCTGATCATATAGTACCTTATTTTGATTCTTATGCTCTTCTATCATTATTTTAGCTTATTTATCTGCTACTTCTAGTCTGTATTTACTTTCTTTAGCATAATTATCTATATTATATATTGTTTCTATGGTATCTGTGCTATTAAATTAACTTGGTAAATTACTTGTTTTACCAAATACTAGCTCATATGGTCAATAATTATGTGTCATAGAGGGGGTCGTATTGAAACAAAAGAATCCATACGTCCCAATCAGTTTTATCAACCGATATATAAGATCGTATGTATTCATTAAAAGTTCTATGACTTCTCTCTATTGTTCCTACTGTCTGGTGGTGGTGTGCCGTAGATGATATATTTTTAATTCTTAGGTATTTGCACAAGTCATTTAAAATTGAATTCTTATATTCTGTACCCATGTCCGTAATGAGTGTCTTTATTGGACCGTACTTCAGAATAAAAGATTCAAATATTGCTTTAGCGACAGTATTAGCGTTCTTGTTTGGTACAGAAATGGCAACTAAATACATAGTTAAGTGACATATTAAAGTGACTGCATAATCGTTGCCATTTTCTGATTTTAGTAGCGGACCATTAGTGTCCACTATCACTCTGTCGAAAACATTTATAGGCGTGTCTGTTATTGTTGAAGGGGTCTTACAATGTTTAGTTATTTTAGCCTTGTGGCATTTCTGACATTTTCGTATGTACTCTGTGATATCACGAGTCATATTTTTCCAAAAATAATGTCTTTTGATTTTTGCTAAAGTTTTTGAAATGCCAGTATGACCTCCTTATATGGGATCGTCATGGAAATTAGACAGAATAGCTTCTTTATATTTTTGTTTATCTATTATGGTCACCGGGTTAAGTAGCACTACTCTTAAGGTTTTCAATATTTTATTGCCCATTAATTTGAAATTATCCATTGAAGTATATTGAAAGATATTTTCCCATGGTCCCACTTTGAGTTTGCAGATTTCATTTATACCGGCTTGCAGTTCAAGCCTTTGGAAAGATTGACCTAAGTCTAGAGTTACTCTAGAGCGATATAAATCGCTAACATCGTATCTTGCAGTAAAATAAACATAACATGTCACTACTTTACGTACTTCGTCATTGTTTATGACTTCATAAACAAGATTGCGTAGGCAATTGTACATAGTTGTCTTTTCCCTTCAGATATTCCATAGTGAAATTATAGTCTTCCAGCTCAAGTCGCATGTGCGTTTGCTTAGAGCTTGGGTTAGTCATTGAAAACAGGTAAGTTAAAGGTCTATGATCAGTCTTGACAGTGAAATGTCTACCATATACATATGGTCTGAAATAAGTTATTGCCCAATGAATTGCTGTCAATTATTGTTCTGTTGTACTTTTATTACTTTCGCCCTTAGTAAACGATCTTAATGCATAAGCGACTGGAAATTGAAGTCCATCATGGTTTTGACTTAAAACCGCTCCACACGCTTGCTTACTTGCATCCGTTATTATGCAAAACTCTTTGCTGAAATCTGGATATTGTAATAAATTCGGATTTATTAATGCCGATTTAAGATGTTCGAAGGCATTCTGGCAATTAGTTGTCCATTCGAATTAAACATCTTTTTTACATAATCTTGTTCTGTGACGAGAATATTCGGCAACATTTTTTATGAAACTTCTATAATAATTGCAAAATGCAACGAATCTTCTAGCGCTGTCCGCATCATTAGGGACTGGGTAATTCTTGATGACGTATTTTTTGTCATCTTTCAAGATTCCTTTATCAGTACATTTATGTCCCAGAAAAGTTACTTCATGCATGAAAAATGAACATTTTTCAGGATGAAACTTAAGGTTGTATTCCCTACATTTCTCAAAAACATTAGTTAAGTTTTTAAGCATATGTTTTTCGGAACAACCTATAACTATTAAATCATCCATATAAAGGAATGCTTGTAAAGGTTCTAATCCAGATAATGCAATAGTCATCATCCTCTGAAATGAATTAGGCGCTTTTTTTAAACCGAAAGGTAATCGTGTGAAACGATACGAGCCATTTCTCGTTGAAAATGACGTTATATCTCGTGAACTTTTTTCAAGCTCAATTTGATGAAAGCCAGACATTGAGTCCAGACATGAGAAATATTTTGCTCTTCCTAGTTGATCCAAAATGTTATCAATTCTAGGTAGCGGGAATTTATCTGACAACAGTTTTTTATTAATCTGGCGATAGTCAATTACTAATCGCCATTTTTAGTGTTTCAGATTTAGATAAGACCATTTTTCCTCTGTTTTCTGGATTGTTTTGAACTATGTCATAGTTCGAAAGTGGTTCATATTTTAAACTGTGAATATTTACTATTTGCATTTTTGGTTGTTGCGACTGTGTTCGCAACATAAATGCCATGTTGAATTTCCTCATTAGGTATTAGTATACTTTCTTCATCTGATGATAGATGAATCTCTCGGACCACTTGAGATCTTGCTGGTAGAATTATGGAATTATTACCATCTGTATATTATAGGAACATAAATTGGGAAATTCAAATTATTTGGTCTTAGGATAAACCAATCTTCATTATGATTGAAGTCTAGTTGACAATTTAACTTCTTTTTAAAATCAATGCCTATTATTCCATCACATGGTATTGCGAAATGCAAATCTACTATATGAAAATCGTGTCGAATTTTATATATATCGGTCTGTATCTCGAGGGAAATTAAGCCTTTGATTGAATAAACTCTTGGCCTATGCCTTGAATGTTTATTTTATTATCTTTCTGAATATCGCGAAGGATATCAGAATTTTCTTTAAAAATTTATATGTCTGAACCAGTGTCATTTAAGAATACAAGTTTTCTTTTGGTTTCTGTATTCGTAAAGCTTACAAATATATAAAGACTAATATTGATGGAGTGAACATTGTAGTTTACTATTGAGTATCTGAAGGGTGAGAGTTTCCCGAATTATTCTGGACAATTCTCACATAATTATTTATGTTACTGTTATTGTGACCTCGATTCGAGTTGCCACGGCCTCTTGAGTTTCCTCTATATTGGCAATAGAATATATTGAATAGTTTTTAAAATAAAGGACAGTATTAGGTTGTCCAATTGCTTCCGTGCAATTGTTTACGAACTTGGATATGGCATCATTCATGGTGTTGAAGGTGCCAGCCTGCATGATAAGTTTTACCTTATTTTTGCTTTGAATCCGTTTATATTGAAACAGCACAATTATATTTTCTCCAAAGGGTCATGGAATTCTTTTACTGTTGTGTGCCAATTATGTAATGGTATAACAGGGGACCCACGCTGCCGTCTATGTCATCGTGGTGATTATAGAATGGTATAATGGGGATCCCACGCTGCCGTCTATGTCGTCGTGGTTATTATATAATGGTATAACGGAGTCCCGGCCGGCGGGTTATGTAAGGGGGCGGCGGAGTCTTTATCACACGTGGACTCTTGGTAGATGCTCTCCAGGTGCAGATGTCTTCTTGGTCAGCGACGGGAGTTTTGAATCGGGAGAGTTTGAAAATCGGGCTTATAATTTCGTTAGAGATAATAAATGCTTCCGTTAAGTTTGGGTTTAAAATTAAGAGTAAATTTTATTAATCGGCTTGGGTGTATGTATACAGTCGCTGCACAAAATACCTCATTCAGCTAAATACAATGGTCTTAATTCAAAGTGTAAGTACATGTGTTTATATGAAGTATAAATGAGTGCCAGTGTTTTGGTGTCAGCACTCGATAGTTGCTAAGAGCTACTTTCTGGTAAATGTTGACGCTACACTTCTTGTTGGTTGAGTGGTTCGTCGGTTAGGGAACTGCCCCCACCTGCATTGAATTGACGGCCAGAATGAAGGAATGGTCGGAGCGAGTCCACTTTGTGCGTCTGCGGGAATGATGTAAGTTGTTCTTCTCTTCAAGATCATTAATAATATTACTCCGGTTTTGTAAATCCCAGCCAAACATATGTAAATTAAATTAAGGATTCGGTCGTCGATTAAAAAATTTATTTTTTATTTTTTTACCCGTAAAAGGGTATACTAGATTCGTTGAAAAGTATGTAACAGGTAGAAGGAAGCGTTTCCGGTCCTATTGATATGATTATTCATGAAACCTCGGCTTAAGAGAATTTTTTATCCAAAGAGATTAACATTATTAAAAAGATTCAAGAATTGTTTATAAATTTCCGAAGGTCTGAATGTTTACAGGTTGGTTAACATGTATAGCTTAGGTGTGAAGATGTTTCCGATTTGATTGATGTTATTATAGTTACTTATACCCATAAGCTATAGGGTATATAGGCCACGTTCCTGGGCCATAGTTCCTTGGTGAAGTTGCCGTTATTTTCGCCATAAGTTAGGTTGTTTATTGTGGTAGTGCAGTTTTTGGTGTAAATTACTGCACTGCCGCTAAACCGCGCTATTATTATTATCGGGATTTATAAGAATAACTATTCCTCCTTCAGCTTGCATAATTAACTGATCCGCCGTAGTCTCCTTGGCTTCACATGTTGCTGCGTTTCCGTTTAGGATACTCTGCAAGCATCCCTTACTAAACTTGTGAGAGATTTCGTGGCTATGACAGAAGTATTGTTTACAAATCTTGGTACATATTTCTTCGATATTAAATATTTAATGCTGGTCGTGAACCCTGTCAAATAGACTAAACTCATGACAGGAATGAAATGCTTAAAAAATAAAAAATCAACAGGC